ATTTGGTAAAGTCCCAGTTCAAGTCTTTTGCCCACTTTCACTTTCTCAATGTGATTATCCCTTACTGATTTGAGGGAGTATTTATATGCTGTGAAGATTAGTCCTTTCTAATTATGTGTGTTGTAAATATCTTGTCCCACTCTGTACTTTGTAGTTTTCTGCTAGTTTTCTATCTTTTTTAAAAATTTTTATTTATTTATGATAGTCACACACAGAGAGGGAGAGAGAGGCAGAGACACAGGCAGAGGGAGAAGCAGGCTCCATGCACCGGGAGCCCGACATGGGATTCAATCCCGGGTCTCCAGGATCGCGCCCTGGGCCAAAGGCAGGTGCTAAACCGCTGCGCCACCCAGGGGTCACGCTAGTTTTCTATCTTTTTTTTTTTAATTTTTTTTAATTTTTATTTATTTTATGATAGTCACAGAGAGAGAGAGAAAGAGGCAGAGACATAGGCAGAGGGAGAAGCAGGCTCCATGCACCGGGAGCCCGACGTGGGATTCGATCCGGGGTCTCCAGAATCGCGCCCTGGGCCAAAGGCAGGTGCTAAACCGCTGCGCCACCCAGGGGTCCTGCTAGTTTTCTATCTTTTGATGAACAGAAGTTCTTTATTTTAATCCGGTCAAATGTATGTTTTTTTCATTTACAGTTGGTACTTTATCTTGTTTTAAAATTCTTTACCTTTGAGATCATAAAGATATTCTCCTACATTACTTTCTAAAAGCCTTAAATGTTGTCATTCACATTTAAGCCTAGAAATGATTTGTGTGTGTGCTGTGAGGAATGGAAATTTTTTTCCCCATATGGATATCCAACTGTCCCAGCAGCATTTATTTAAAAGCCCATCTTTCCCCTACAGCATCTCTGTCATACACAAAGTGTCTACGTTTCCTAGGCTCTCTATTCTCCTCCATCAGCCTATTTGCCATTCTTACACCAACACTATGTTGTCTTATTTACTATAATTTACAAGTCTTGATATATTATAGATCAAATTCTCCCAATATCTTGACAAATTTTGGACCTTTACAATTCCATGTAACATTTAAATTTCCTTATCAAGTTCCACAGAAACCAAAATGAACAAACCACCACCGCCTGATGAAATTCTGATTTGAGATCACATGCAATTTACAAATTAATTTAGGGAGAACTGTCTATGGAGTTCTTTCCATATGGAGTCTTTCAATTTATGGAGTCTTTCAATTTATGACTTGCAACAACTCCAACTGGTCTTAAAGGTTAACTTGCTTTAAGCTGATGCACTTCTTGCTTGCTGACCGAAGTCCCTTGGTCTGTAAGCAGAACTAACTTACTTTCCTTAAGGTTTGCAGACCATTGGCCTTGAGGAATGAAGGACCAAACCTTCCCAGAAGGTAAGGCCTGACTACATCTGAAAGCAGCTGCCATTGATGCCAGCAAGTCTGTTCAGGGTCATGTCGCCATAGGACTGCCTGGGCATCCACTTCTCCTGCAGACAGCCTCCCTCCCTTTTCTTCCACCTTCCCCTTTATATCCCTCCAACTTCACGTGGATAGTGATGATGCTCTTTGAGATGTTAGTCCACCATCTTCCCAGGTTGCTGGCTTCCTAAGGAAAGCAACCTTCCTCTCCATCCCTTGTCTCAGGTATTGATTTTCAAGTGGCAAGCAGCCGAACCTGAGTTTAGACTTGTTTCTTGTCCAGTAACAAATGCACTATCTCTCCAGCTATTTTAGGTCTTCCTTAATGTTACCCAATAATGTTTTATTATTCTTTACATAGAATTGGAATATTAGCACAGAGACCATGTGATTAGGTACATGCTTAAAATTATGTTTTCCTGATGGACAGAACCTTTCATCGTGATTATCTCTCATAATGCTTTTTGACTGATATTCAATAGAGAGATATTAGCTGTATTGCCAGTTGCTGCTGTTACAAATTTCCACAAGCTTAGTGGCTTAAAACTATACATGTATAGTATTTTAAAATTCTGTAGGTCAGAAGTCTGACACAGTCTCACTGGGCTAAAATCAGATGTTGGCAAGGCTGCATCTCTTGCTACAGAGAGAATCCATTTCCTTACGTTTTCCAGATTCTAAAAGCCTTCTTATGTTTTCCACATGCTAATGCCAACTTTTAAAAAAGTGGTATTGTTTCACATACCACTAGTAGGTTTGGAGATATCACAATCAATTTATCAAACTCTTTATGAGAAAGGCACACTGTGATACATGTTAACTGTTACTAGTGAGTATCAAGCCTGCTTCCATCTTCAAAGCCAGAAACATGGCATTGCTCTTTCTTCTGTAGTCACTCCCCCTTCTGATTCTTTTTCTGCCTCCCTCTTGTGATTACGTTGGGCGCACTCAGATAATCCAGGCTAATCTGTTATCTCAAGGTCCATGATTTAATCATATCTGCAAAATCCCTTTTGCCAGGGGAAATAACACCTATGATCTAAGTGTTTTGTGTTCCCTGAAAATTCACGTGTTGAAATCCTGATCCCTAACATGCTAGTATTCTGAAGTGGAGCCTTTGGAGAGTGATTAGGAATGGGATTAGCATCCCTATAAAAGAGGCCCTAGAAAGCTCCTTTGGTTAGTCTCTCAATCCTAGCCCTCTTGCAAGCATTTGCCCTCAGAGAAATCCTGGTTTTGGCTTTTGCTAAGTGATCACTGTTCTAATTTCAATTTACTGTTCTTAACCACCACAAACAAAAGCCCTCTTGCAGCTTCCACTTTGGAGATCTCTTACTTTCTGGCAAATTTAATAACGGCTTAAAAATAATATCACTTTTCTCAAGTCTGGGGGTTTTCTTGCTTGCTGCCTTTTTTTTTTTTTTTTGGCAATGGTCTGTAAATAGGTTATAGGATGGCCCCCCACAGAGGTCCCTATTCTAATCCCCAGAAGGTTATTTATATGGCAAAAGGGGCTGTGAAGGTGTGATGGAAGTTAAGAATCTCGCTATGGGGAAATTATCCTGGAACACCTGGTTAAACCCAATGTAATTACAAAGGTTGTTTGTTACGAGAGCAGGTGAAAGTTCAGAGGGCAAACTGAAGTGATGCAACTTGTGAGCCAACGTATGCCGGCGACTTCTAGAAGCTGGAGGAAGTCAGGAATGGATTCTCCCTGGGAACCTCCAGAAGGAACAGCTCTGCCTGCACCTGGTCTAAATCTAATTGGTTTTACTCCATCTCTCCGCTTGGATGTCTAATGAAAATTTCAGGTTCAACACGTAAAAAAACAAAATCACTGATTTCTGCCTTCAAAATGCTTTCTTCTACAACTCAGTTCTCCCAAAGTTGCTCACAAGGCCTCCTTTATCGGGGATCCCTGGGTGGCTCAGCGGTGGAGCATCTGCCTTCAGCCCAGGGCATGATCCTGGTGTCCCGGAATCGAGTCCCACATCGGGCTCCTTGCAGGGAGCCTGCTTCTACCTCTGCCTGTGTCTCTGCCCTGCTCTCTCTCTCTCTCATAAATAAATAAAAAAAATAAGGTCTCCTTTACCTCCTACTCCACATCTAATACATCCACGAATCTTAGCAGCCCTTTTAAAATACGTCCAGATTTCAATGCCATTTTCATCACCTCAATCACGACCACTATCTGGCCTAAACCACTATCCCTGTGGACCCGATTGCTGCAGTAACTTCCTAACTGAGAACACCTTTCACCAACCGACACAGATTTGTTTTCCACCACCTCCCGCTGTAATGGTCTCCGGGACACAGAAGACGACTCTCTCTCTCATTTTGTGCCAGGAATCCCCCTCCCCCAACCCCATGTGCAACCTCGCAGATGCTCCATTTTCTAGAATAAGTATTTTATACCGCCACGTATACAGCAATGCATTTAAGATGTCTGAAAATTAGCGGGTAGGGGCCTTTCACCAACTAACTCAAGAACTAAATAAATAACTAAATAACAAAGTGACTGAATAACTAACTGAATAACTAAATAACTAAAGGACTAACTGAATAAGTAAATAAATAAGTAAATAACTAATAATTAAATAACTGAGTAACTAAATAAATAACTAAAATAGGGATCCCCGGGTGGCGCAGCGGTTTAGCGCTGCCTTCGGTCCGGGGCGTGATGCTGGAGTCCCGGGATCGAGTCCCACGTCGGGCTCCCGGTGCATGGAGCCTGCTTCTCCCTCTGCCTATGTCTCTGCCTCTCTCTCTCTCTGTGTGTGTGACTATCATAAATAAATAGAAATTTATTTAAAAAATAAATAAAATAGTAACTAAATAACTGAATGACTAAATAACTAAACCGAATAACTAAATAACTAAATAACTAAGTAAATAACTGAATAACTAAACTAGCTAACGAACTAGATAACTAGCTAACTAAATAATGAACTAAATAACAAACTAAATAACTAGCTCACTAAATAACTAACCAGCTAAATAACTAGCTAACTACGTAACTCTAACGAATTAACTAGCTAACTAAACGAAATAACTAACTAGCTCACTAAATAACTAAATAACTAGCTAAACTGCGAGCTAATAACTAGCTAACTAAATACATAACTAAAGAACGAACGAACGAACTAGCCAGCTGACTAACTAGCTAACTAGCTGCTAACAGTCAAGCCCAACCAAAGACGGCGGGTCGCAGGGCCCCGCCGCCTCGTCCCCGTCCCCGTCCCCGTCCCCGTCCCCGTCCAGCTGAGGCGGCGACAGGTGAGCGCCCACGCGGCTCGGGGCCGCAGCACCGACGCCGCCCTGGAACCTTCCCTGACACTGGGCCGTGGGCCGCACGTGCCACGTCGGGCAACGCCTCCCGCGGGCCGTCTCCCGCTCCGCACCGCTCCTCCGACATTTAAAAGTCCAGCTTAGAAACCTCGGCCGGCCGAACCCTCACCCCTCACCCCTCACCCGTCACCCGTCACCCCGGGGGCTGGTCCCGGAGCAGCGCCCCGTCGGGGAGCCGCTCCGTCGCGGGGCTCCGGGGCGGAAGGGGGGCGGCGTCGGCGTCAACTACCCGCACCCAAGATGGCGGCCTACCCGCTGGTCACGTGCTCGGCGGCGAGGCCAGAGCCATCGGCAGAAGCAAGGAGGGAAGGGAGAACGAGGGCGTCATACTCCCGATCCGTCACGGAGGCAGAGGGGATAAGGACAGAAAACACTCAGGGACGACGAAGCCTCCAGGCGGCAGACGCGGCGGCACCGGCGGAGGAGGCCAAAGGCGACGCTGACCGCATCCAAGATGGCGCCAGACGCTCTAACCCGGAGCGCCTAGAGGCGGCGATCACCGTCACCCAAGATGGCTGGTGTGAAGCCAGCCGGGGGGGCGGGGCGGAGAGCGCCCGGAGGGCCTTTGCCCTCTTTCAAGATGGCGGCCCGTGGACGCTGGCCCTGGCTCCGCCCCGCGGCCTCGGCCCCGCCCCCGCCCCTCCCTCCGCCCCCTCGCGGCGCCTGGTCCCGGGGCGGTGGTGTCCGCGCAGGGAGAGCGTGCTCGGGCGCCCGACATGGCGGCGGCGGCGGCGGCGGCGAAGGGGAATGGGGGCGGGGGGGCCCGGGCCGGGGCCGGGGCCGGGGCCGCGGCCGGAGAAGCTGGCGGCGCGCGGAAGAAGAAGGGCCCAGGGCCGCTGGCCACGGCGTACCTGGTCATCTACAATGTGGTGATGACGGCGGGGTGAGGCCGGGGCTCGGGGAGGCGGGGCGCTGGCGGGGCCGACCGCGGAGGGGGCCCTGCGGTCGGCGGGGCGGCCCGGGCGGGGGGGGGGGGGGGCCGCCCTGCAGGGGAGGGGCGGGGGGCCCTGCAGGGAGGGGCGGGGGCGCCGAGCAAGTTGCCCGAGGCTGGGTGCGCCCGAGCTGGAGTCAGGGGGACCTGCAGGGACTGCGGGGTGGCCGGGGGTCGGGGCTGGGGCGCAGGGGGGCGGGGGGGAGGCGCCCTGCAGGGGTGGGGCGGGGGGGGCGCCCTGCAGGGGAGGGGCGGGGGGCGCCGAGCAAGTTGCCCGAGGCTGGGTGCGCCCGAGCTGGAGTCCCGGGGACCTGCAGGGACTGCGGGGTGGCGGGGGTCGGGGCTGGGGCGCAGGGGGGCGGGGGGGAGGCGCCCTGCAGGGGTGGGGCGGGGGGGGGCGCCCTGCAGGGGAGGGGCGGGGGGCGCCGAGCAAGTTGCCCGAGGCTGGGTGCGCCCGAGCTGGAGTCCCGGGGACCTGCAGGGACTGCGGGGTGGCGGGGGTCGGGGCTGGGGCGCAGGGGGGCGGGGGGGAGGCGCCCTGCAGGGGAGGGGCGGGGGGCGCCGAGCAAGTTGCCCGAGGCTGGGTGCGCCCGAGCTGGAGTCCCGGGGACCTGCAGGGACGGCGGGGTGGCGGGGGTCGGGGCTGGGGCGCAGGGGGGCGGGGGGAGGCGCCCTACGGGAGGGAGCGGGGAGCGTCCTGCAGGGTCGGGGCTGGGGGCGCCGAGCAAGTTGCCCGAGGCTGGGCGAGCCCGAGCCGGAGTTCCCGGGGGCCGGCGGGGCCTGCGGGGTGGCCGGGGGTCGGGGCTGGGGCTGCGGGGGGCGCCCTGCAGGGTCGGGGCTCTCCGGCGCCGAGCAAGTTGCCCGAGGCCGGGCGCGCCCGAGCCGAGCTGCGGGGCCCTGCGGGGTGGCCGGGGCCGGGGCCGGGGTCGGGGTCGGGGCTGGGGCCGGGGGCGCAGGGGGGGCGGGCGGGTCCTGCGGGGCCGCGGGAGCCCCGGCTGCAGGCCAGGAACGCGAGCCTCCCCGGGGCGGTGGGGACAGCCGTGGCCGCGGACTGACCGTGTACTTAGGCGCGGCTGTTTTCAAAATCGGGCTGAGCCCTAATCTGAAAGGTAACGGGGAAAGGCGTGCGAAGTTTCTGGCCGCTGACCCGAGCAGAGCCGCGCTTGAGCTGAGGGGAGACTCCGCGGGGCGGGGCGGGGCGGGGCGGGGGCAAGGCCGAGAGCTGCGGGGGGGGGGGGGCATAGACCCCTCCAAGCGGGTCCCTACCTCCGCCGCTTCCTGCTCCACCTCTTGCCACAGCGGGTTCTCCAGTTCTAGTTCTGACGCTCACTGGCTGTGTGACCTTGGATAAGTCACGTTTGCCATTCTTTGCCCTCCGTTTTTCAACCTGCAAAAAAAAAAAAAAAAATAGAAGGAATTCATTTCTTTTACAGATTCTTACTTGATGTCTTTGTATGATTAGTTTCTGGAAATAACATAGGCCATGTATCCATCCGTTGCCTGGTTAGGCGAGCTCCCAGGTACCTCTAGCTCTCTGATCCCGTAGTTTTGGAAGGGGAGGGTCACAGGATCCGACTGCTTGTTAGGTATTTCTGTTAAGATTTTATTTTTAAAGTGATCTCTACACCCAAGATGGGGCTCCAGCGTACAACCCAGATGGATCAGTAGTCTACTTGCTGTACTGACAGAGCCAGCCAGGCGCCCGTTATGTTTATTTTTCTTTTTTTCTTTTTAAGATTTTATTTATTCATTCATGAGAGACAGAGAGAGAGGCAGAGACACAGGCAGAGGGAGAAGCAGGCTCCATGCGGGGAGCCCGATGCAGGACTCGATCCCGGGTCTCCAGGATCACGACCTGAGCCAAAGGCCGACAGACACTCTGCCACTAAGCCACCCAGGCGTCCCATGTATTTTTAAATTGTATTCATTTGTAAAATATTTTTTCCCCTCGAGTGCCTTGGTGGCTCAGTGGGTTGAGCACCTGCTTGCACCTCAGGTTATATGATCCCCAGGTCCTGGGATCCAGCCCCACTTTGGGCTCCCTGCTCCCCTGCTCAGCACGGAGCCTGCTTCTTCTTTCTCTCCCTCCCTCTGCTTGTGCTCTTTCTGTGTCAGATAAACAAATAAAATCTTAAAGAATTTTTTTTCTCTAACATTTTATTAGGAAAAATTTCAAAGATGCAGAGAAGTTTAAAGAACTGTATGGTGCGCATCTAGTTTTAGTTATTTTTAAAATAGGTACTACATTGGCAGGTGCACGATTCAAAATATACCCAAGAACATGCAGTGAAACTTCGCTCTTCTCCTTCCCTTCCACCCAGATCCCCTCTCTGTGGAAGTGCTAATTTTGTAATTCCTTCAGATGCTGATGCAAACAAATATGTATACACACAGACACACCCTTTTTAACCTAAATGCTAATGTCATATTAGCATTTCAGCACTTTGCATTTTTCACACAGCTGTAGATATAGCGAGGACCATAGACTTGATTGCTTTATTGGAAATGGCCCGTGTTGAAACCTAGGTTCAGAGAGGTGGTGATTTGCTTGACTAGCTTGACACCACTGAACTTGTTAGTCATAGATCTGGATCTAGAACTTATTTCTCTTGATTCACAGGCCAGTGGAGAAGTAGTGCAGATGCAAGTTTTCTTTATCGCATAAATGGTCAGAGAGTGATTCTTTAAAAGAACGTCCAGAAGTTTGTGTTTTATATTTATATGTGAATTCTTGTGGGCAAAGGCATTAACAAAAGCACTAAACTGGAGAGAGATTTTAAGATACATTGGGAAAGAAGGAAAGAAACCTTTATTCCTGGTGATGGAGGATAGGGAGTGGTGTCTTAAGTCAAAAAGAGAAATTGGAATTTTGAGAGGAAACTAGTCTTTTTTTTTTTTTCTTTTTGGTAGGCTGCTAATGCTGAGACAGTTACACCATTAAGGAATTCATTTCTTTTGCAGATTCTTATTTGATGTCTTTGTATGATTAGTTTCTGGAAATAACATAGACCATATATCCCATTGCCTAGTTAGGATTGTATATTTATTTAGGTAAATCTATTACTGCTTTCAGGGAGACATACTTTATTAATAAAGATCCATTTGTTTCAGTATGGAACTTAACAAAAAATTACAGGCTTTGAGAAACTCACTTTTGAGGACAGAACAGAAATCTAACATTCACAGTGATATGCCTAAGCACTTCCCTGTATTGTGTTTTGTATTGATCTGGCTTTTTTTTTTTTACTGAATTGATTTTGGAAAATTGAGCTTTAAGAAAAATCTTTTTTTTTTCTTCAAAAAACCAACCATTTATTTTTATTTCATTTGCAATTTTGAGAGTAGGGTATGGGTATGTTTCTGTGAGATACTTGTGAAAATAGTTTAAAACATCTTTCCTCCACCCTATTATTATTACAGACCCTTTGACTGCACAGGCCATTTAAAATTTTCCTTTAACAGCTTTTTTCTCTCCTCTTAGACTTCTGGCACTTAATTTAGCTGCTCAAGGACCAATTTAGCTTATTCTCTTCATTTTGGCCTTGTTCTCAACAGGCAAGTTTGCCAAAAAGCTGAGCTCCAGATGGGTGAGGTGCCACTGTGCTTTTGCAGAGCACTCTTGGTTGGGTGCTGTTGGTGGTGCAACATTTCTGTGCATTACAGCTTGGCATTTGAAGGCCATAGTTGATAAATCCAGGATGCTGATTTTTGAGGTCACCTTAAGTAGTATCTGTTGTTGCCAAATTTTCTATTACCTCCAATCCTACTTACCTTTTTTTTTTTTTCTTGATAGCTCATTTTCTTTTCTTTTTTTTTTTTTTTTTCCTTAGGTGGCTGGTTATAGCAGTTGGACTGGTCAGAGCATACCTGGCTAAGGGTAGCTACCATAGCCTTTATTATTCCATTGAAAAGCCGTTGAAATTCTTCCAAACTGGAGCCTTATTGGAGGTAGGTCCTGAGCTTCATTGTTATTGGTTTCTATTGTTAAAAATTAAAAGCATGCTACTAAATTCCATTGAAATAGCCATATCTCTGTTGGATTTGCTTTAAATTTGAAAACTTGCTTTATAGCATACTGTGTTGATGACTAGAGTATCTTCTTGACATTCTAGATAAAATAAAATCTCATTTAGCTTATGTTAACTGGAATATATTTTACATTCAATGTTTACTGAAAATCATGAAGAAAGCTTATGATAGGATTTTGGTTTTTGATTCTAGGGAAATCATAGGGAAGTGTTAGCAAACTCAGAGACTTTTACCAGCCAGCCAATAATGGAAACAATGAAGCTGGTGACTGTAGGGTGTCAGATAAGGTAGATAGAAAAAACAGTAGAGCCTGTCCAAATGCATCAAAATTTTTTTCTTAAATAAATGTTCACTGATACAATTTCTGTGGTTGTGTCAATTTTTAAAACCATAAGAATATTGTAATGAAAAAATTTTCAAAGACTTTAAATATAAATATTTCTAGAAAAATGTTATACAGTCTCTCAAAAAACAACAGAAAAGTCTGATGATAAATCAGTAGCTTTTTTTTTTTTAAGATTTTATTTATTCATTCATGAGAGACAGAGAGAGAGAGAGGAGAGAGGCAGAGACACAGGCAGAGGGAGAAGCAGGCTCCATGCAGGGAGCCCCAAGTGGGACTCAGTCCGGGGTCTCCAGGATCACACCCTGAGCTGAAGGTGGCGCTAAACTGCTGAGCCACCTGGGCTGCCCAAATCAGTAGCTTTTAAATACATTCAATATAATGCAAATAAGTAAATAAACATTTATTAGTTCTCATGTATTGAGAGTAATATACCTAGTCCTGTTTCCTAGTATACGTTAGCATTTTTGAGTTGCAAGTGACAGAAACTCAATTCAAAGTATTTTCAGCAAGAAAGGAATTTACTGGCTTTATAGTCGATAAAGACATGGGTTAACCTACTGAATCAAAGGAACCACCTCAGGAATGAGGATTTGACATTGCCAGACTCTTTCCATCTCTCATCTTTGTTTATGTCTATTTCTCTTGGAATGTTGGTCTGAGGCTCTCCTACTGCAAACTGCCTTCTCCACCTGGCAGGAGAGGGGGAAGGAGTTATTTTTCGTAGCATCTATGTCACAGTTCTGGAGAAGGGTTCTGGTTGGCCTTACTTAGACCAGTCAGTCTTGCCTTTGATGTGAAATGGTTGATTAACCACGTCTAGGACACATGCCCATCCTTCTGGCCAAGGGACTATAGGCTTTGTTAATGGAAAAGAAGGAATGGGGTAGCTTTGGGCACACAGAATCAATAGCTACCATAGTTCTTAATGGTAAAGAACCTTCAGGTTGCAGCAAAAATCTGGTGTTCAGTTTCATTCACTTAGCCTCCAGGGCAAGTGCATCATGACATTTGGAAGGATACTACCTTTTACCTCCAGGAAATAGCATGTAACAGCTTAACCTCTCACCTTCACGTTTGAAGCTGAAAGTTAAAGTTTTTGTGTTTTTCTCTCAGGAAGCAGAGGTTTCAAAACTGTCGATATTTCCACATTTTAGGCAGATGGTATGGGGAAGTGAGCTTCCAGCTGTGAATGGAGTAGCATATTCTAACTCTGCTGGTTTTACCAACTGTTTGAATTTGAGCAAGTCATTTATCTCTTGTCCACCCCTTCTTCTCATTTATGAAGTAATTAGGTTAAAGTAGATTTCAAAGCCTCTTCCTGCCCTAACAGTTTGAGTCTGAGGGAACTTCAGCAAATCCTTATGTGAGCCATTTGTTAAAGTTTTGAAAAATTTTTTGGAAGCTGCCAATAGTGAGTGAGTGACTTTGCCTCTCAGAGCTTTGGCCGGCACAGTACTCTCCAGCTATAGAGAAGCAAGTTTGGGGAAATTGAGGCCACAGGAAATTGCCCCATTGCTTGACACAGTATACAGTTGGACCTGATTAGAGTTCTTCAATAATTTAAAGGGGTTCTATCTCTGTAAGCCTTTGTAATATTAGAAATACGATTTTCTAAATTTCAGTATGTCTTAGAGAAGGTAGTGACATTAATATGTTTTACAAAATCCACTCAGGAACCAAATCTTATACTTTGAAGGATTAGCACATTTATCCCTATAGACTTTTTAACAGGGATTTAAGAAAACATTTTGGATTTTTGGTTTTATCTCTGTTATCCCCACTCAGAACCAATTAGGTGACAAATACTGGATTTGATTTTGGGGAAAGGACTTGGCAAAATGAAGTCAAGACTCCCAGGAATAGCAGGGAATTAGCTTTACAGTTGTCAGTGACAGCACTAGACCTCTCAGCCTGGGGCAAAGAGCAGGCTCACAAAGACTGCATCTCCTAGTTGTCGATTAAGGAATGCCTCAATGCCTCTGCAACCTACATCATATGATAGTTACAGGTGTACAGTGTCATTGAATCACAGATTAGTTATGGGAATTATTTGTTTGACAATATATCTTGTTTGCAGGAGAAAAGGAGAGAATGATTCCAGGGAGGTTATTCATTTTTATCTCCGTATGCTTAATGTCATTATACATTTTTTATCGAAGTATAATTAACTTACAGTGTTAGTGTTAATAGTTTTGGGGTAAAAATATAGTAAGTGTTCTCTCAATCTCCTTTATCTGTTTCACCCATTTCTTCCCCTCACCTCCCTCTGGCCACTACCAGTTTGTTTTCTGTATATAAGAGTCTGTTGAGTTTTTTTTTTTTTTTAATTTCCCAAAGTTTTATGGTTTTGATTTTTATTTTCTCTTTTTTGCATTTTTTTGCATTATTTTAAGTTATAATTCTAGGGACATCTGGGTGGCTCAGTGGTTGACCATCTGCCTTCAGCTCAGGATGTGATCCTGAGATGGTGGGATCAAGTCCTGCCTCAGGCTCCCCACCAGGAGCCTACTTCTCCCTCTGCCTGTGTCTCGGCCTCTCTCTCTGTGTCTCTCATGAAGAAATAAATCTTTTTAAAAAAATTACAATTCTAATATAGTTAACATGCAGTGTTGTATTAGTTTCAGGTGTACAGTATGATAATTTAGCAATTCTGTACAGTACTTTAGTGTTCATCATGTTAAGTATGCTCTTAATCCCCATCACCTTCTTCACCCATCCCACACCCACCTTCCCTCTGGCAACCACCAGTTTGTTTTCTACAGATAAAAGTCCATTTTTGATTTGTCTTTTGTTTGTTTGGTTTCTTAAATCCCACATGTGAGTGAAATCATATAGTACTCTTCTTTCTGTCTGACATTTCACTTAGCATAATTCTTTTTAGAACCATCAGTGGTGTTGCAGATGGCAAGATCTCTTTCTTTTTTATGGCTGAGTAATATTCTGTTTTATATATACATATATCACATTATCGTATATGTATATTGTATATGTATGCCACTATAAATCAGGTTACTTGTATCTCTGAATGTTATTTGTTTTTTTTAAGATTTTATTTAGTTATTAGAGCATGAGAGCACGAGTGAGGGGAGGGATAGAGGGACAGGGAAAGGGAGAGGCAGACCTCCCAATGAGCATAAGAGCCTGACTCAGGGTTTGATCCCAGGACCCTGAGATCATGACCTGAGCTAAAGTCAGATGCTTAATGGACTGAACCACCCAGGCACCCCTGAATGTCATTTGTTAGTAGGTTTTGTGGGAATTTGCTTAAAAAGAAGAGATTACTTGTTATTTGCAGTAAATTTCAAATTTTCCTTGAAAAATAGAGCCCTATGCTTTTCAAAAGATTTGAAAACATTTACCAAGGCAAGTGGAAATGGGATGGAGTTGTATAATAGGTGATTTTACTTCTGAGGAAATTAATGTTTTGCAAAATGGGTGTAAAGATAATATTGAGTCAGTGGTACAATAGTATAGGTTTTTATAATATGGACACAAAACCTAATTTTTTTTCCATACTCATCAGAGAAGATCTTGACTGTATTTTTTAGATAATTTTGCAAGTTACTCCACAGGTGATCATTTGATTAAGTGTGTCTGTGAGTTGCTATAATGTGTGCTATGGAGGTTGATTCCTTGTTAATAAAGAGCTTAAAATCTTATTGGATAGATGGTTATACTAGGGCTCTTGGCTAGAGATTATAGAAACCACCTTAACCAACTTGAACAGTAAGGGGACTTTATTATAAGTTTATAGGATGTCCCATGGGATCCAAGGACAGGGATGCAGTCTGCAGGGAACTCAGGGGTTCCTGCTCCATCTCTTATCTCTGCTACTCTCATTTTCTTTGTCTCTGATTCTTTCTTCTCTTCCACACTGATCTTCTTGTTTTGTTTTGTTTTGTTTTTTTAATCTACATGGCAAGAATGATAGTAGTTAAAAGCTCCTAAGATTGTTACTTCTGTAATCAGGAGAGCAACTGTTGGAAATAGAATCCTACTCCCAGTCCCACATTACCAATGAAGGGCCAAATTTGTCCAGCTTGAATCAGGTTCTCATTCCTGGACGAGTCACTGTTGAAGGGAAGGGGTAATTTCTAGAAAAAGGGGTGCTAGGTGGAAAGCCTAGTATTTACCAAAGTACTGAAGCGAATACAATCAACATTATAATGTGCAAATTATGAGAAGAATCTTGAGTAATTGTGAGAGATAATTAACATAGCAAAAATATATTTTTTAAATGTCATTCATAGATAAACAAATTTCCATACCATAAAGTTAATGAATTACTGATACATGTTATGACATGGATGGATCTTGAAAACATGGTGCTATGTGAAAGAAGCAAAACAGAAAACACTATATATACATTATATGATTCTATTTATGCAAAATGTCCAGAGAGACAAATCCAGAGAGACAGGAAGTAGATTAGTAGTTGCCAGAGGCTGTGGGGTAGAGAGAATGGGGAACGACTCTAAATGGGTACAGGATTTCTTGAGATGATGACAGTATTCTGGAATTAGTGGTGATGATTGCATAACCTTTAAACATACTAAAAACCACTGAATTATAC